ACACACACCTACTCCAAGTATTTATCTTTGCCTCTCGAAGCACCCCACCTGTGACACTGAGAGTATGCTCCGTATTAAAGAAAAAGGTTTTCCGCTGCCTGATTTATGACAGCACTTTGCAAGATTCCTAAAAGAGGAAAGGGAATCAGAGAGAATGAGACATTTATGACTTTCATTGGAGTGTCTTTTAGTGTGTGTTAGATGTCATCAGCCAGCGCGGGGCCAAAGCACGTTGACCATCACAGACTCCTGAGGAATTATGAACCAGGAATGCTAATTTCGGAGCACTACCCGAAATTATTTCATAATGCTGCGAGTGCCCTTGAATGGTTCTTTGTCTGAGCAGACCAGAGAGAGAGAGAGAGAGAGAGAGGGAGAGAGAGAGAGAGAGAGAGAGAGAGAGAGAGAGAGAGAGAGAGAGAGAGAGAGAGGGAGAGAGAGAGAGAAGGCCCTGTTGCATTTATGGCAGAACAATTTTTGCTTGCCCAACTGTAAGGGATCCTGGCAAAAAAGGGAAGAGATAACAGACACGCAGCAGACTTGCCTGTAGGAGATTTCAGTCAACGTCGTGACCAGATCCCTCATTAAAAGCTGGGTAACTGATACGCTTCAAAGTCTTAAAGGAGGTGGAATGCAGGATCACCTGACATCCACACATCTCACATACCTCAACACATGTGCGCTCAGAGCAACTGATGATGTCCAGATGCCATGTCTGAGGTAAAAATGTCTGAGGTAAAAATGTATTGAGTATTTGAGTTATGAGGGGGCTGATATTCTGTCTACACGCTGGCTATTGATACAGATGTGTAATAAATGTATTTAACTAATGATTTCAGTTTGTATGGCTGCCAAAGACATTTCTTTTGAGCGAGGCATGCCGCGGAGAGCTGTGGGATATTTGCTGTCGGCCAGCGAATCCATCATGTATGTTGATGATGTACAGAAACTCTGCGATCTCGCACTAAAATGGCATGTACGGGCCGGACTGGAAAAGAGTGGCAAAGGAAGAATGTTCGGGGTGAACAGGTGGGCGGTGTGAAATACTTTGTGAACTTCAGGCCGTTAGATTGAGGAAGACGAGCATTTCAAAAGTCCACATGTCTGTGTGTGCATGGTTCTTTTGCTAAGTCTGTGTCTCTTCAGTGTCCGTTCTTTTTCTGGGAGTCAAGAAATGTAACCATGTTTCCATCGGACATGTGCTCACCTCTCTTCTCATTGACCGCAGCAAACATGACATCTCTCGAAGGAGATGCAGCGAGATGAGGTGCTAATTTAAAAAGACGTCGGCCTCCAAATTTGATCCAGATAGAAACAAACGCTTCTGTTCTGGAATCAAAGAGGTGCTGTCAGTTTTTCCAAACAATAGCGGCCTTCATCTCCAGTCATTCGACACAATCACGCCAGTAAACGAAAAGGATTCTTCGTTCTTTTGCAGGCGGGGCGGGGGGCAGTGTTTTGTTTGGGTTGATTGTGTTTAGGGGCCAAAGGATCAGTCCTGCCGATGGCTGTCATGACTCAGCTGTCATGTCAGGCGGACGTGTCTTCACACAAAAAGATCTTCAAGGAATGCAAACAAGTTAATGGCGCTCGTGCACCTTCGCAAAAGAGAGAATGCCCGCTTTGCGTCAAAGGAATTTTAGAAGAAATGATTAAGCGTGTAGTTTTCTGTAAATACCTCCCACTCCTGAGTGTTACAGCGGTGACTCACGAGCAAACACAAATGTAATTGTGATCAGCTCCGAGGAGAGGCAAGACCGAGCACGGAAAAGGACGCGCACCCACACGTTTATCATGGTGAGCGTTGCCAGTGGGCACTGTAGGCTAATGAAGTGCTTTATCCGATAAGAGGGAGGGACGCAAAGTATGTCAGCGTTTGAGCATTCAGATCTTTGTCTCTTTACTTCACGCTACGTAGAAATCTTTAATCCCCATTTACTTTCTCACCGTTCTGTATCACATCTCAGACCTCGAGCTTGAGATAAAGCTAATATTTTGACGGGTGTAATGCACATTTACGACCGTAAAGCCTAAGTGAATTATGACCTCCTTCGGTCTTTGTAGGCAACACTGACTTTATCAGGTTCAGACTTTTATAAAGGCGTTTCCTCATTCCCTGTTCCACATTTCCTCATTTCCTTTTCCACCCTATTTGCTGGAATCCAGTTCAAAAGGCTGATCGTTATCTGCGAAGACAGATAATTGGACTTTCATTGTTTAAAAAGCAGAATTATAGGTTGAGATTAAAGCCTTTTGGAAGGCCAGTGTTCATTAAAAGTATTAAATGAGCCAAACAGTATATTAGATCATTCATTAATTTGTCTACCACTCCAATTGGTAAAATCTGCATGACTCTGCAAAAAAATATCCAAAGCGACTTTCAATAAGTGCATTTCAACCATAAGGATACAAAGAACAAAAAACAAGACTAAAACTAAGTGGAATCAAATCAAATGAGCCGATTTACAACTCACTATAGATAAGAGCCATTACAAGTACAATTAGAGTGCTACAATTTGTTTTGTGTCTTTAGTTTGCGGTAGAAGTTGCAATTATTGTAATACATTCTTCTACCAGCTGTCTGCCAAAGCGGTTTGTTTGTGGGTAGATGCAACATCCAGCTTTTGTCCCGGCAAAAGTCACATTTAATCGAATGCTGAATCTCAACCGCTGTATTTTCTCCTTCTTGCAGATTGTACCGGACAGAAAATGGACCCAGAGAGGAATACTGGATAAAGAACAGTAACCTATCATCCATCTAATTACAGCTAAAGCTGGCCGCGAAACTAAAGCAGTTTATAGCCAGCAAACCGTTTCTAAAAGCAGCAAAACAAACCAAACGGCCGAGCTGCCAACCCCAGATTTACCGCATCTAGTGTGCTGATGCATTTCATTATTGATCAAAACCATAACCACTACCTTAAGAAATAACAACAATACATTTCACTTGTGCTTTCTTTAATGAAGAACACAAAGAAATTGCTCATCCTGTCTCATTAGACGCTGAGCCTGGCTTTACTGTATGACGAATAACACAGAGGACCAAAATAAAGCAACTTTAGTCACATTGAAGATCTGAATACAAAGCAGTCTCTGGAATGACCTTTCCAGAGTGAAATGTTATTCCTCACATGCACCTAACAGCAGGAACTGCCATACACACAGTTCCCCTTCATGTCACTGTGGAGTTATGAACTCCAAGATAAAGGGCAGATCCTTTTCTCCGAAAGAAAAATAATCTGCGAGCTGGAGATTGGGATGCAGACAAAAAGCATGTTTTGGTGACCAAAATAGCAGAGGAGCGTCTGGGAAAGAAGAAAAAAGGAGTAATAGAGAAATGCCAAAAGAGAAGAGTGGACTGTTTCTCAGCCCTGTTTGCAAGAATTCCAACAGAGCACAACAAACTTTTTTTCGTGGCAGCTGTCCATGGGAACTCATCCAAGGCACATATGAGGTGACCCTCCCAGGAGGTTCCGTTAGTTTGAGAATAATACTTCATGAAAACCAAAGTCAGAGCACACTTTTTCCGTCAAAGTCTGGCTGACTGCAGGACAACGCGAGGAAGGATTATTGCTGAAAACGGAAGCGACAACTGGGAGCGCTGAGCTACTTCTTTCCTTGTCCCTTTTTTCGTGGCTTTTCTTGCGTTTTTGAACATATTCACTGCCTGCCGGTGAGGACTAATACTTCCATCTTCTGACTCCAGCGACAGTTTCTTCTTATCAAGGGAGAAGATCGAGCTGACTGGAGCGAAACACTCACACGTCCCCCTGTCGAGGGCTTTTGTTTCTGCTGCAAGCAGAAGCATTTTACTTTGAGTAGAGCAATGGAAATGGAGAAGGAACGTACGTCGATTAGGAGGGGACTGAGCTGTCCGGGAGAATTGAGAAAACCTCTCCAGGCAACACACAACACACACACTCCTGGGAGAGAGTGCAATGCATCATGGGAGACGGCAGGATTCAACAAAGAACAGATGAGCCGGACAACAAGTAAGTGTTTGTTTACCTCGCATTCGCTGTCCTTATTTGGGGAGTCTGAGCAGCGGCAAGGAAGTGCATTGTTACTCACACAACACAAAAATGTATTTGGAATTATATTTGTGGGGATGGGTTGTTTCCAGCGCTACCTCATTGGCTTTAACTGTCATATTTCATCATATCAGAAGACTTAACTGAGGCGAGATAGCAAATAGAGGAAACAGGCTCCTCAGTGCAACTTGACACGGTCTCAATGAAACATCTGTTTCCATGACTTAAATACAAGCTGCCGCAACAGCAATGGAAATGCAATCACACATCATTGCTAAAGGTCAGTTTGAATATGCAGCACTGCCACTAACGATAGCGGGCTGACCTGCGGTAAAAGATTTTCGGAAACTTCTTCAGACCTTTCTTTTACTTTCACAGCTGTCAAGCCCCAGTAAGAAATAGAAAAATGGAAAAACACCGCTGTAAAACCGGATAATAACCTCTGGGCTGTGACAAGCCTGTCAGAGGCAGTACGAGGCAAAGACAGTAAAAACACATGTGTGGAAGTTTAACAGGAAGGTCATGGCAATCAGATAACTGGTGCCCGATATAGATCTATGGCCTCTGCACCTCCAACACTGGTCCCATCACTAATTGGTTTCCTCAAATGGAGCCACCAGAAACAACCCAGGAGCCCAGTTAATAGTGGACTGCAGAGGCCCACAGCACACAGAAGTAACAGTGTGCGCAGCAGAGCTTGGTTTTTCCCCTCCCTCCTATGGGGATCTACCAAGAGCTTAAGTCGCATTCAGTCGGGGAAGATCCCAGGACCTCGCTTAATCCTCGTCTTTCCATATCGCTTCACAATGCACCCACGGGGGCTGTCATCCCACTCACCCCAAAGCCATCGCGCCGGAGAAAGATAACATCCGACAGGGTAATCTGACCTTTGATACACAAATGCAGGGCTGGCCCCCTGATTTAAATCCCGGGGCTGGGGGCAGTTTGCCGTCTGCTCTCAATGCAGGGATGAGGGGCTGGAGAAGAGAGCAGACCGATGAGCTATATCAGAGGGACGGGGGGGAGGTGCAGATCAAGTGGAGGTTCTTCCAGCACCGCCGAGGGCTGAGTTTTGTCTCTGCTGGAGGAGAGGAAATTCCTACGCTGCCCTCGCAGGTCGGAGCTTAGGGAGCACAGGGTTCGGGGAGGGCAGACACTCGGTCGGGAAGAGTGCGCAAGAAACACACGGCTACATGGTAATATCCAGGAATGACATCGGGGGGGCAGCAGAGGTCAGGTGATGGATCTCTGGGCTCTCAGTGATCTAATCCATACACACATTTAGTCGCCGGTAACCCTTTCCACTTCAAAGACAGCAACAAGGTTTGGACACATATATCACAGGATATCAGACAGAGATTAGCCGCTCAATGCCGGCTGTTGATTGGGTACCTCTGCAGACCTGTCAAAAGAAAGACATGGATCCAGACAGAAGCCGTGAGCTCTCTTCTCAAAGGCATGTCTCTGTTTTCATAGTTAGTAGGAAACCCCGTGGAGGTGGGTGGTGATTTGAAAAAACAGAGCTGGAGGCTGAATGACAGACAGCCCAGCCTCCAGCTCCACGGACCACCTCCCTCCCCGTCTGCCCGACTGTGTGCCAGAGTGCGGCGGGAAGAGAAATCCGATCCCGTGTCTCGCTGGAGAAAGGGGGTGTAAAGCTATCAGGCGCAGTTAAATTGAAAACTCTTGTGGACGTACAACAGCGGAGCTCTGGTTTTGAACATGAGAAAGGTAAGGGATCAAGCACTAAAGAGGATTCCAGCAAGATAAATGAAATTTTCTCAACCTGATCAACTTGTGATTGCCTGCCATGTGAAGAAATATGACTTGTTAGAAGGAGCGGGTTGTTTTTGTAGCTGCTGACCTCATGAATCAAAAAGTTCATACTTTTTGTGGAAGTTGGTGGAATTTTTTTTTCATGACATTTGTAAAATACGTTGTAATATAGAATATCTGTTGTATCTCTGTTTATTGGTTGAATGTTAATATCTTAATTAGTTGATAAAGTACGGTAAATACTAAGATTAAGATGTTGGTGTTATTCAATCAGATGATAACCGATCACTGTCTAATTTATTGAAAGACATGAAACAAATAGTCCGCATTTAATAGCATCTTATTTTTATTATTATTATGGTCATGATTTGAATTGTTGAGGGGATTTGCACCTGCGTTTGTGCTACTCGATGACCAATCTGGCTCCCAAAGGTAAATGTTTACAGTGAGGGGACATTTCATTTCAAGCCCTCACTGCTCTGACCGATTCAAAAAATGAAATAACAAATATTGATAAAAGGCGCTGAGAATACAGTTGGCACCTGTGTGTGGGTCCAGTGCTGCAGTCCATGAAGGACGGTGATTTATGCTTATGCCAATAGCTGTGAGAAGACTTCTTGTTTCAAGTGTCTTGTGATCACACTTTCATGCTTTAAAATACCGCTGACACAAATATGTGAGGTGGTTGATGAATCTCCCTCTAATGGTGTTACGTCCCTTTTACTTCTGCCAGTGTCACGTTGACTGATTACAATAGTTGATGCTGCCATTGAAATGGGTCCTTGTGGAAATAGCCAGCAACTTCATCAAAGGGTGTAATTTGGTCCATTCTATTACCGTGCAAAGGTCTATCATCCAAACCTCAGCTATTGTTTTTATCTTTACATATTAAAATAATAATATAATAAACGTATGCTTTTGAACTACATGGGTTAATGTAGAGGGAGCTCATGGGTTACCTGCATAGAGTTAATTTAATCACAGTAAAAATCAAAGACGCATTTTATTCCTTTTTGTCAGGGTACGGATCACGTTAGCGTTATTCTCTTAGCCAAGACTACATGCAGGATTAAATAAAAGCTTCACCAGTTATTGATTTACACATATTTGTTGGGATTGGCACACGATTAGATTGAATAATGTGGCTGTATGGATCCATCACCTTACTAAATAAGGAGAGATGTTTAATAGGAGTCACCACAACCAGTTATTCTCCTTTAAAATATGCATCAGAGACTTTTAAAACTTACGACTTTTATTCTGAAATGCAGCGTTGACGTTCCTCTGGTTAACTATGTGGGTTGATGTAGTCACTATATTTAAGATGGAAACAGTTGATTGTATGGTATGTTTAGAAAGCAGTAGAACGATGTCATTTCTAGGAGCCGAAGTTGTAAAAATGGTACGTTAATTGTTCAAGCAGCAAAACTGCACAAACGAAGTACAGTGGGAAACCAAAGGCGTTTTGGAAGCTCACGCAGGGAGTTTTCTCAGCGGCGGAGGAATGCTCAGGGAGGGACGGCTGCAGAGGAAATAGCTGCGCTGCCTGCTGGAGCTCTTAAGCTTCAAAAACAAACTGTTAATTTGAACACGGCCATGTTTTCAAGCCAATCAGTAAACCCACAACATCAGTGTAGGACATAATAGACCACTACCTCTTTAGTACTGGAGGAGAACTTGACATGAATCCTTTTATTAACATGAGTCAACAAGCGTATTAAAATTTTTCTTTTGCCTACTGTCTGTTTTTTGTCTGCAGCTCACTCTGCTGGGTCAAGTGTCCACAAAGCTCGCTGGATTGGTTGCATCAAAGGACTGTAAAGAACAATCAAAAACATATGGCGCAAAAACTCTTGTGCGGGTTTTTTAAGAGAATGTTTAATCTCAGACTTGTTAAAAATGTGTCCCCACTGGTTTTCTCTATTTGTATAAAGCAATTAGTCTTTGTTTGAACATGTGTTTGAACAGTAGGAGCCTCCCAAACTTAGGGTCCATTTTTTTTAAAGAATCCTCCCTCTCTCTCATGAAAAAAAAAAGTTTGTTACAGGCTACTTACTGTCTCTTTCCCTTCAGATCTGACCAGGAGCGCCAGTTTATCCGAGAAGGAGCTGAAGGAGGCTCGTGTCAGAAGTCATATCATTGCTGCTCAGCTCAACGTGCCCTCCAACTCCAGCTCCAGAGGCGTGCAGCTCTTCAACCGGCGCAAACAAAGGGTTAGCGCCTTTACGCTTGAAAGCAGTGGAGAGGGCTCAGGGAGAGACGGAGCTGAGAATGCCGGCTCATCTAACAAACTAACATGGGCAGAGAGGAGCACTGAGGAAAAGGATCAAGACTTGAACTTTAAGAATAGTGCTATCAAGCCACTGTTGTCACTGCCTGGGAGGGTACATTCAGTAGGTGATATCATGGAGGATCGAGGTAAGGATTTTCACAAGAGTGACGAGGTGGAGGATATTGTTATCCAAGAGAGACATTTCCTCCCTGTTAAGGAGGAGCAGGAGGAAGAGGAAGTGGAAAAGGATCAACTCCGTGAGGACAAATTTAAGGATGATATTCCACCTGGAAGTAATAATACTGATCCAGTGCTGATGGGACATGATGAAGAGGAAGCAGACACACACGGGGGCCACAGAGAGTCAGCTCCTCCGGGAAAGCTTCATAACGGCTGCCAGAGCACCTCTGGAATGGTGGAGAGGGTTTCTGTGCCCACATGCAAACAGACGAGCACCATCATCAATCGAACTGCCAGGCCCTTTTTCTCACCGTTGACGGTGCAGTCTCCAGAGGCGGTCAACCCTGTCATGGAAATCCCCCCTCCTCCTTCCTATGCCACCCCTCCACTCCCGGCTTCCTCTGCCCCTCAACCATTGGCGTTGTCACCTCCACCACCGCCTCCGTCATATCCCACACCTCCCCTACCGACCTTTGCAAACCCATCTCAGCAGACCCACCACTCCAGTCCGTCTCCAATGTCTCCCGTTATGTCTCCCTCTTTCGAACCACCACCGCAGTTGCCGGTGTCTTCTGTGTCTCAGTACCCACCAATGCCCCATTATGGGCCTCCAACAGCCCCAAAGTCCTCCACATTTGTTCCTCAGCCTAGTGGAGAGAGGAAATTAATGACACACATAAAAACAGGAATACTTGAGGAGAGTGCTGTGCGAAGGGGAAGTAGGAAGTCGATGTTCACATTCAAAGAGAAGACAGTCTTAACTCCAAACCCTGAGCTGCTCTCTCTGGTGCAAGGGATGGATGAAAGGAAGAAACATGGACATAGATCTGTGCCTGAGCCAGCATCCGAAGAAGAGTTGCTGGCGCTGGGGGCTGAGGCCTCCAACTTCCTCGCCAAGGAAGAGGACAGGGTCGATGAGACAAGAGCTCCCGAGTGGGCTTCCTGCCTCAAGACCTCCAAGACCCATCCAAGGGCTGAGCACAGGCCGGAGCAGAACCTCAGCAATGTGTCAGGAAAGGGGGCTGAGCTGTTTGTCAAGCGTCAGTCCAGGATGGAGAAATACGTTGTTGAGAAGCAAAATGGAGGACATATAAGGTCTCCTTCTCCCACAATGTCTCTGCCACCGTCTTGGGTATACCCGTCAAACATGCCCGGTAGGGTAAAGGCCATTGCGAAAAACTCAGAAATGAGTGCTCAACTTTCACAAAACCTAAAGACCCAACAAGAAGTCAAGCAAAAGTCCAGACAAAAAGTTCCAGCACCTGAGCCAATTCCAGAGTCCCCTCCTTTGGAAAATGGTTGCTCCAAATTAGAGATGGAACTGTCGAAGCACCGGCCCTACCAGCTCTCCTCCTCCCTCTTCATCCTCAACCCAGTCAAGGACCCCGTTAGTACCCTACCCAGAGGAGCACCACATTCGAAGAACCAGATATCTACCCGGCCTTTCTCTAGAACGGCTTCATTACCTAATAACCCTCCTTGTCACTCCACTACCCAGTGCATGTCTCCACAGCTGCCTCTCAGCCCCACAAGGGGAAGAGGAGAATCCCGACAGGAACCAGCATATGGGGATCCGAGGATGAGCTCTCCCGTGGCAGCCTTTTCTCCAGAGCGAGTGTCCTCTCCTCGGTCAGGAATCCAGGCACCAAGGCCCACGTTTTCTGCCAAGAAGGCTGGGATTGCACCACAGGTGTGGAGACCCTCTTTGTACCATTTTTAAAAAACTGTTTGAATCCGAGGGAAGGTTGGAAAATGAAAACTGTCTTTTGCAGCGTTGAATTTGAAATGTTTCTGAACTCCTTTTCTCAACTTGTGCCTTCTTCTAGTACTAACGCTTGCATTTTAAGTATGAAATGGCATGGAATACTGTCCGAAAGCAATTGATGTAAAGGAAATGCATAATAATTGTAGTAAGAATAAGACATTTTCTGTTCCTAAAGAAATTTATTTTCCTAAAGAAATCTCTTCAGTGAATCTCTAATTAGAATTTTTTCTCAAGAAATAAATAAATAGCAGTAATTACTCTTGGTTTAAATAAAAATGTGCCCTGGTATAATCAGATAAATTCCATATCCAAATCCTCAAAGCATATGAGCCCTAAAATACACCACTTTTCAAGTTTAAAAATACGATAAGAAAGAACCTCACACTTTTTACAGTTTGTCTCCCAATTCTGTGGGCACCAGGGGATGCTACTCCACAAAGCACTTTAACAGATGGTCTGACATCTGCTTTATGATCTATGCTTTAGAAGTTAATGCTGCTCACTGACAAGAAAGTTGCAGTGAAAGAACTCTTATGTCTTTATGTCTTCCGGGTAATTTACTCTTCTTTCCAGCGTTTTCTGCAAAAATATAGGTTGTGTTCTTGGATGCTTTGATGTTTCAAACTACAGGCTGCATACAAATTGGCATCACGGACCTACGTATGCATTGTTTTTTCAACTTAAAGCAGTAATACCGAAGACATCATACTGTAAATCCCGGTTATTTTTGACTAAAGGGTGTATGTTTGTTTAATTTCACTAACTTTGATTCACTGCTCTCTTCTGTTATTATCCTGTCTGTGATGATTGATTTCTGTGTGTTTGACTGTTTCCTTCTCTGATTAAAACTTTATGCTAACAGTCCGCTATGACCTCTTTCTCCTTTTTCTCATTTCCTGAGTTCCCTGGCTTTCAACAATTAATTCCACTGCATTAATGTTTGTTATTTCCTTTTCCTGACTTCCCTCCAATAACTGCCTCACCTTAGCACACCAATGCTGCTTGCGTTGAATAGATCATTTGACAAATCCATTTAATTGGAATATTTATTTCAGCTTGCAACAATTGCAAGATATTTTGCACTTCAATAAGAATTTGAGATATGTCTTCATGTTAAGACCTGCGCCTTGTTCTCGTTGGTGTTCAGGAAAATGGTTTGACATATGACCTTTTTTTCTTTACCAGATGCACTGACATTTTGAGATGTGACCAGTAACATTAATCTTAAGAGACCATAGCTTCTCAGGACACTGAGTTTAGCAGTGTATAACGCTAAAGACTATTATTATCAACAGTGGAAATTCTCTCAATTATTATATGCATAGGATGGAATCTATCCTACTCTTGCATAAGTCAAGTAACTTCATACACCGTAAAGGTCAGCCACCTCAGGACAGCCAGATGACAGTAACATGAGAGAGACACTAAAGACCCGGCCTGTGCGGCAGGCGTATTGAAGAGGATACACAGAGATGGCATACATGTTTCCAAAACAAAATGACCCAGCATGTCTTGTTGAATAGGGTTAGCACTGTATAATGTGGGTCTTTGGTGAGTTTGTGCACAACAGTCATGGTAAAATCAAAACTTTAGAATAAATAGGAGAACATTTATTTACTCAAATTGTACACTATACAAAATCATTATTATGTAGCAAACTGTACATTTGATGTATGTTTACATGAGTCTAAAATACATTATTTATCTACAGACTAAAGACACATTGCCAGTTGAATCGCCCAGTGAGACTTCCACGAAGACCAGGACCACCAGCCTCACCAGACGTTTCAGCAGCCCTGAGGGTCCTGCCATTGGGACCTGGACTCCCAGCCTCCAAACAAATCGGCCCTCCACCAACATCTTTAGCCGCCCAGTTAGTGCCCCTGTATCCTCTCCCGGGGGTACAAGATGCCAATCCCCTATGGCCAGTCGGAATATCCAGTTATCCAAGGTCACCTCCACTACAACAACCAAGCCCTCTCAATCATTCACAGCCACCTCCCCACGCTCTCCTCCTTGGGGTTCAGGGTGCCAGTCCCTGATGGCGAGCCAGAATACCCAGTCCTCCAGCATCTCCTCCAATCCTGGTCTCAGACCATCCGAAACGTCTCCGACTACTTCCTGTCTTTCTCCTTCTTGGGGTTCCAGAAGCCAGTCCCCAATGGTGAACCAGCATTCCAAGTTCTCCACTTTCGCCTCAATGTCTACATCCAGACCTTCCCAACCACCTACAGCCACATCCCCACTATCTCCTCCTTGGGGATCCAGATGCCAGTCCCCAATGGTAAGCCAAGATAGCCAGTCTTCCATTGTTTCCTTTGTTCCGTCTTCCAGGTCCACCCAAATATCTACCTGTACAACTCCTGTCTCTCCCCCTTGGGGCTCACGTTCCCAGTCTCCTGCACTCTCTCAGACCAGTCTATCCTTCCAGGCCACTAAACCTTTGTACAGATCCTCGGCCACCTCACCGATTTCCCCGCCCAAAGACACTCGCTGCATGTCCCCCATTGTCAATAATCCGGACTCTAAAGCCAACCACCGCCTCCTGGCTAAGAACATCATCAATGCAGCCAAACGTAAAAACAGCCCCTCCCCTGGAGCACTGAGCGGTCACAGCCTCCCGATCTCACCTTTGGGAAATTCCCATCATGGCTATGACTGTCACAAACCACCCATCAGCCCTTTCCAGTCGCGGGCATTTGGTGCCCAGTCTCCAACATTCACTAGCCCCCCTCCAACGCCGACGCAGAGGATCTGCTCCCCTGTGAGGCTCTACAACACTCGGTCCCTCACCGACTCGGATGCCTCCGTTGAGTCGGAAGACTCGGGCCTCCGATCGCCTGGCTTGCACTCCTACAACACCTGTCCCCGAGGCTGGGGCAGTAGCCTGAGGGTGAAGAGAAGCACCATCTCCACTGACCTGTGAGGGTGTCCCAGGAGGGCAAATCAAAGCACGATTTCAGTTTTCTTTTGACTTTAGGGGCTTTGGATCAACCAGTAACAAAATTGTTTCTGATGGCATTTAATCCGTATAAAGATATCTTCCTATAACTTTGTAAAAGGACCCTGGGACTGACAAGATGAGGTTTTACATACGACAGTTACTGGGGTGTGTACTCTCTCCTAATACCAACAGTCTTAACATACAGTTACCAAAGATATTTGAATTCACTTCAGTTCACATTATACTCCCTACACAAGAAACATATACACTGTTCACCACAGTTTTTAATGTAATCAATGAATACTAATCGTGTTTTTTGGTCTGAAGCAAGTCAAAATGGGAAAAGACTTTAAAAGTAGGCTATAGAAGAGACATATTGAAAGAGTATTGTGTGAATCTATAGCTCATTGGACTGTACAGTACTTAGTTTTAAGGCATTAGTAAAGGATAACATTTAACCATGTAGTAAATAATGCGTTTAGACTTAGACTGGGTAAAATGAGTTTTCATTTTTCCATAACAAAAGCACGGTTGTAAATGGGACACATGCTATTCACACTCACATGAGTCACAAGTTTCAACAACTTTTTTTATCCATTTCAAGCAATTGGAAATAAATAATGCATTATTATAGTGCATTATGATATCCGTGTATCAAAACAATAAGCACTGTTCGTCATGTATGTTATATGTTGCTTTATGTACTGCATTTGCTAAAAAGAATGTAAACTGTACAGACAGATTGGCAGAGAATATCGAGGGCATGAGGAGGAGATGAAAAGTGGAGGTTTGATGAGACATTGATGCACCTGTTCATTCAAACACTGTTTCCATGATTAAGGAGATATCAAAGGTTTTATTGCTAACCTAATAAACATTGCTGACGACCAACTCAACATTAGCTGTCAACCTGCAAATGTAATGGCATAGTGATTGTAATATTCATATTGGACATTGATGTTTGTCCATTTTCTGCTTTTGCGGACCACCTGTAATGTTTTTCATGAGAGACAAACTAATATTTTTGAGCCTTTACGTATGATACAAAGGATATTGGTTGCATGGGGTTCAAGAGCAAATGTGTATGTCGGAGAAGGTACAAAAAGTTGTAAAACAAAAGGTTAAAAGAATGTTTGTTTTGACATTATTCTAAGGGTTCGTGAGAAAAAAATAAGAGCAATGGATTGTATTTTAAATACATACTTATCTCTTTTAAATATATTCTCTTTGACGTCTGAAATGTATTTTTGTACTTAATTTGCACTTATGTTCATTCCATTTTAATGGCTGGATTGGCATTGTTTCAAACTTGATTTGCTCAAACGTATCATTCAAAAATAAAACAAGCAAAAATATAACAATGAGAACATTCATACGCAATTAAATATGTTTACATGATAGTGCCGATTATAGCTTGAAAACCAACTGCTAACTTCAAACCACATCTGGCTTTCTTTTCACACAATTTACATCTTACCGGGTCCTGAAACAGCAAACACAAGAGACCATTCCTTCCATTGCAGACATGAAGGTCAAAAGCCTGTGCACATTTCTAAATATTTACTTCTGTGTGTCTTTTGAGTGACAGGGACATCTGCTACACATGACCTGGCTCCTTCAGCAGGATTAGGTTTATTGCTGTCATGGATTGGTTTCAACCTGGGCTGACTTTAACGCGCTAAACACCGCTGACATCCCCAAACACCAAAAAATAATCATTGTATTTTGTAAGATGGGGTGATTGTCAAGTGTTTTTTTTGACACAGCATGTTTTTCTCTCATTTTTCTCTTAAAACTGTATGATTTCCAATCAACTCATAATAAAAAGTGAGAGGTGTGTTTTTCGCGTTGTACTTACAGCAGGAGTATTCATTTTTATCTCTAAATAATGGTCGGAATGAAACGTTGTTTGGGTCATGCCATGGAATGTACATCATTTCAGATACAGCACACACTCAATTATACTGCTGAATTAGACTTTTACTTATTCCAGTAATCCTATACAGTGCCACAAACACGATTTGTGGCAATGATTTCTACTTCATCTTCATCCTTACATAACCCCTTCATGCACTTCCACAGTCCCTCTATTAAAACTTGTAATACAATTTGCATATTTGAAGGTAGTTTAGTAGTTGAAGTACTGTTAATGGTATATTTTTAGTCACTTTAACTACAAACAAACCTCTTGGATTGATTTCATTAGAACATAATTACAGAACCTTTGGCTCACAATTTAGGTCATTACACATGTACTTCGCCAACCATATTTGAGGACGTATTTCTTTGGTTTTAATCTGGTGTCATGCTTTACTATCAATGCAAGATACTTTACATATATTAAAGTGGCTGCACAGTCCCTTGAGGCACGTAATTGGGGTGAAAAGAACTAAGCTAAGTATCACAGGTTCATAGACTGCCATCTGTAGGACTCCAAACAGAAGTTCCAATTAGGCAACACTGTTTGACCTGATTGTGTACCTGCAAGTGTTTCTCAAAATAAACACTTCATGTAGACCCTCATTTGTATTTATTCAAGAAGTCAACATAGTATTAGAATAAATCCAGAAAATAATATGATGGAAAAAACAGAGGAGGATACAATTTCAGTCCATCCACTTAGCGTCATACAACACACAGACTTTTACTCATCAGAGGAGCAGGGAGCAACTAAGAAACTGCAGTCTGGACGCAACGTGATTACAGTTATGTCATCTTGGCACAGTTGATTTGTTGGGTAAAAGGGGATATATTTTTAGAGATCACAGATTTAATTTAATTAAAAAGTGCAATGCTTGCAAGGGAACTGCAAAGCTGTATAGCAGGTTTGAGAGTTTGTGCTGACCTGTTTCCCTTTCAAAACTCCTTTCTTATTTTCCCCTTCTTCTTTTAATCGTGTTGCCACACATAAATTAGTCCAGAAGACAAGGAACAGGATAGAAATATAACATTATACGACTAACTTGCCTCGGATGGATGGATTAACAACAAGGTGCTCTGTGAACCGTGTGATTAAAATACTATTGTTGATTGTTTTTTCTCTATTTTGCATCGATTATTTGATAAAACCCTGCGATCCCTGCTGAACCTGCCCATCTATTAACGTGAAATATAGGGGAGTAAAGAAGCGACCGTTTAACTTCCTTCCTTCAGGCGCAGGGGGGCGCTCGCGAGGCGGACGGGGCAAGAGAGGAAATTGTTTCCTCGTTTGACAGCAGGGGCTTGTTTTACAGCACAGAACTACCAGAAACGAAAGTTTCCAGGGACGATAGATGCCGACACTAATTGAGGAGACGTTTAGCTGAAAAGCCCATCAGCTCCCTATCGCCCTCCCGGTGTGAGAATTAACATCGACCGAACGGCAGATGAGTGTCTTTGCATTTGTTGTTGTTAGCCGCTAATGCTAACCATAGAAGTCGCCAGCTAGCCTAGCCCAGTGAGCTAATGGTTAACGCGAGGGAAAGATAATTCGCCGCATATGTTTGATTCATGTATCGCTGTCCCGGCGGGTGGCGTGAGCTGATGGAGCCAGCTGACCGGGGCGTCGCTTGTTCAAGAAGTGCAGCTTTGGCCGAGCTTTTAAAGCTGCTTCCCTGTTAGCTTCGCGGTTAGCGCCCCACTACACTTGGAAGAATGAGTAGAAAACACCATCATCTTAAAGGAGCCGAAGTCAGCTGCTGCGTGAAATACTTCTTGTTTGGATTCAACATTTTATTCTGGGTGAGTGACAGTTTTGTTGTTTTGCTAGTCCACATTGTAAAGGAAATAACGTTCACGTTGCTTGTTACTTAAAGTCTTCGTGAATGTTCGGCTAAAGTTGGCTGGCCGTCAGTGACCGTTGGAGCGTTTGGACTTAACATTAAGTTGATTCCTGACAACTTACCAGAAAAGTATTTACTCAAAATAATTGCAACGTGTTGTTGTTGTTGCTCATCTTGTTGTGAAATTGTGCTAACTGGCAAAACGGATCCACTTGTTCATCTACTTGATTGAGAAAGTCACTATTTTTTTTTTGGTGTGTTATAAGTCTTTAAAACCTTTTTTATAGCTGTAATTTATTAAAATCACTTAATGTTAGGTTGGTTAGCAGACAACCCTTTCCTCAAGTATTGAGGTAAGTGGTAAGAAACCAGTGTATGTGTGTATATTTATTATCACCAGTCTCTTTAAAAACCCTGCTTTAATGGCTTAATATAACATTATTTTCTAAAATGTGAAAAGGGGACCTCTGGTGGTGCTTTGATTCTCTCTGGGTGTAGCTGGTGGAGATGATGGCGCAGTTCCTTTCTCGGTAGTAAGGATCTCAACCATTTGTGCTTTGAGAAATTACACAGATCCCATTTGCATTGTTGGGTCACTGGCAAGTTTGCCCACATCTCCTTCACAATGCCCGTCCCATATTTATCCCTCCTCAGTCTGAAACGATCCTCTGTTCAGCCCTCCCCCTCTCCCTCCCCCCATCGCTCCCTCCTCACCCGGCTGCATTGCAAGTGGTGTATCTTAATGCCTGTGAGTGATGGAACGGCGTGTCTGTGCGCCTCCATGGTTCTTCCCACACACTGTTGGAAGGAAAAGGCCACACTCGCCCGAACATCCATCCCCCCCTCCTCTTTTCAAGGACCCCTTTTCACTCCCTCTACCGCTATCGTACTCGGCCTCAGTGGGACACCATTGTTTCTCTCGCTGACACGCCCGCTAACGCACACAAAGACGCATGGGGGTAACAAAGACTGTGGGACAGGGTGGGATTCTGTGTCCAACCCGCCACCCCCCACCCCCTCCGTACGCTCGTTCTGACGGACCCGTTAGGGCACATGGGGTCCACGTGCAACTGAATCTCGTCCTGTTGTTCCTCCTTTGGTCACCACCTCCCCGTTTCTTAACACTCGCCCAACCAAACGTAGGAGGATGGCGCTGTGATCTGTGACATGTTCGCCTGTGTAAGTGTGATGAACTGAGCTGATCTCAACTGCCAAACGCGCTGCAGGCCAAAAACAATTATTGGTTACAGAACACAACAAAAGTTGATTTTTACAAATAAAAGGGTCTCTGTAACTCAAGTGGACTGGGCAGTGAAGCGGGGAAAAGGTTTACAGTGGTGTGTCTGACTCATGTTGCGTTGTTTCAGACTGTTTCGACACTCGAGGCCAACGGTTCCCCGTCTGCGCTTCTTCCCCTGAAACAGTCAAACAAGTTCCAGCTCGCTGGCTGTGTCCGTTAATAATTCCTGGATGATGTTCTCCTTTTGTCTGCGCGCTGCGAAACCAGATTTGACTGACAAGCTAGTTCATTGCCAAAATATAGAGCGATGGGGGTTATTTTCCACAAATTAGCCTATTTGTTTCTCCCATAGGGATCTTGTCGGGCTTGAAAAATGCTGCCCAAATTGAGACCGAATGTTTTCAAGACGTTGTGAACGAAATGGAGCTGGAATTCTCCCGGCGTTCTCACCTGTGAACAAGCGACGTTCTCACGAATCAACACATTCCTCACAGCCGCACAATTAGGCATTTGTTTGTGCTGGAGCTGCTGAAATGTGTGGAAGCTCTGCGTGATGTAATTAAGAGCTGGTTAAGGTCCACCCAAGCTGCTGAGTTGTTGGTTGCGTGCAGGCTGCGTGTTATTAGCCAACTCCAGGTTCAAGTGTGACGTAGAGTCATCACATCAGAGGTGGTGGACACCTTAAATAAGGGTGACCGCAGTCACTTTACTCACGCTACATTCACAGGTAGATACGGGCTCATAATGGAGTCCTCATGGTATGCACTCCCCCGATTGCGTTGTTAGAAACCGAAGCCGTTTTTTGACTGTGTGTATAGTAAAGTAGCAATCATTATTTAATTCGTCCTTTATTTTCCATCATTTCTCACAAAGAAGTTGCCGTTTCCCACAGAGGCAATCAGATGTGAGCAGGTAGGCAAACATCTACTGCAGGGACTTGAGTCATTTGGGCCAACATGGTATCTGCATGGTACACAGGAATTACGGCATTGTATGTCGGCCGTCCATTCCAATCGGATATGTTCTGAGCCACCAACTGGTTTGAGTAACACTAAAAGCTGTTGTAATTAATGATACATTGATGTTGCTTTATGGGGCGGGAATGCCCCCTTTGACTGTAATGATCTGGTGGTTCGGTCGACGTATTCGCTGCATCTGACCCGCACCTGAAATGAGTTTGAGACCCTTGCATTAGATTGTTAGTGACAAAAGGGCAGTCACACTTGAGTAAGCCTATAGAGTCTTTGTGATGTTGTGTCTGCCCTGACAGCATGGAGCTTGGTTTGTCTGCTAGTTAGTGGAGGTTAATGTGATCAGCTGGCTTAAGGAGGCATCTTCTCAAGTGTTGATAATCTCTCTCTCAAGAAGTCGTCGCTCTGGGACACACGCACACACCGCAGTCGCAGTAGCACTTGACAGAAAAATTAAGCAGATCAGCGTGATTTGAATAACGACACAAGTACAGGGACATCTAGTTCCAGATTTCGTTAATTTACTCCGTGACAACAAGGCATAGATTAGATGGAACCAAATGTACAGAAGAAAGAGGAACAAATTGCTTCCTAGAGCAGGTGTAATGTAAAAAAAAAACAAAAAAAAATCCTGGGGACTTTTAGAACAATCGGCAAATTCATGCATGCAATGAGGTATAAACTATGCAAGAACAAAAACACAGTTCTGCGCTTTTCCTATGGTTTAATTCTTGAGAGATCCAAGGCGATGAATGTGAATCCCATACAGAATTAGCGTTGATTTTAAAAAAGCACTGATAATCTGAAGCTTTGTGTAGCACAGGGTGTGTTTTGACTGAGCTGAATTTGACTCCCGACTTGTTCACTGTGGGGAAAAGTGAGATAAAAGGTAATGACGCAAGAACTGCACAAAAGCAGGTTCCGTTCAGTTTCAATGTACTCATTCAGTCAAATTCACTTCATTCAAACCTTGTTGTCCCAGGAGGGGTGTTTGGTTTGCAGATGATGTGGAAAGAAGTCGTGCAAAGGCGTCCGACTTTCTGCGTAGGAGTGTGGAATGAGCGGCCACAGAGGATACAAGTATTCCTTTAGACCAGAAATAATAACTCACTTGTAGATGTAGAATAGGTACTTTTCTGGTGTCTGGGTGTTTTTTTTAAATGTAATTCTACGTTATTGGATAGTTTAGAGGAATAAACAAACTGGAGAAGTAGCAACAGAGATTATATGGTTGTATATGTACTCAAACTAACCTTCATATATATATATATATATATATATATATTATACACACACAAACTGCATGATACACTTTATGGACTCTGTGCTCTTTGTCTCCATCTCTGCAGCTCTTGTATCACCACAAATGTCTGCTATCCCCTCAAAGGATACTATTTCTCAAACAGATCAAAGTAGCACTGCATCCTGGTAATGTTCCCCCAAAGTCTCCTCATCTCCTGATTTCCTGTTAAGGACAGAACAATGGAAACCAGACAGGAAGTACATCAGCCATGTCACGGTGGGCAGGCGTTAGGTAGAAAATGTCTACTTTAAGAAAACATTATACGGGAAACGATATATATCAGTAAACAGACTGATCACTTTTTCTTCTTTTTTTAAAATTCTGCAATAATCAACATTAGTGCAACATCATTAGTGGGACTCGCAATTTTCGAAATGAGCGTCTGATATTGGTAATTGTAGTCATCATTATGATGATTACTTGGAACCAGGTGCTCAAAATGCTGTTACCTTGTTTCCCATTTGAGGGAAACGTTCTGGTGATAACCTAGAAAATGTCTAATCTAAGTGTTGTGTTAATAGTTTTGTGATTAATTTGTAAAGAACGTCGAGGTTTAGACGAGCCTTTGGGGCCACGGTTCCAGAGAGATATCCCGACTGCTCGTCCTATCGCAACAAGCTTCCAAGGGGAAAAGTCCCCCCTGATCCTTTTACAGAAGCCAGAAGTCATTGCTTTTTAATTGTCTTATCTTATTTTTCCTTAATAAATCCTAACTAACCATGAATGGGATTCTTCAGTCCGCATTGGTCTAGAAAGTATACTTAAACAGTAACAATAACTTCATTCTCAAAGTCATCCTACAACACAAAGTAGATTTGCGATGTGCGCGTTCCTCCCCCGTCTCCCGAGAGGCCTACAAGGAGCCAGCGAGCACAAAGTGACGCTGCCAATTTCGGGCTGAATTTAGGACATCATTCATGCCACCACACTGTAATTTAGGCTCATCGCTTTGTCAATTCCTAGATGTCGACAGTTCTGGCTCAGATGAGATGGGAGTTCAGAGGAATGAAGACCTGTGTTCTCTTAAGGACACAACTGTTAATTGGAACGTAGACATGAACTCAAATCCCATCCAAAGAGTTGTTATGAAGCACATGAACGTGTTATGTTGTCCAATGCTTGATTTATATTTTATTTGAAAAGTACTATTGCGAAACCCTGCCAGGTTTAGCCTGTCGCATACTCTGCATTCTGCAAACAGTGAGATGGTGCTCATGCAGTGATCTACGCATCTTTGGTTTACATTTTGAAATAACGGAGAATACCTTCTAATGGGGGGGGGGGGGACGAGTCGGGCAAACTGTTCAGCCGTGCTTGGGGGGGAAAAAGACAAAACCGTAGTTTCCATGCCGTAAAGTAAGAGTCTCTGTCTCTTTTTAATCTATGTGGATCCTTAAACGGTTTTAAACCCCCCCCCGTTGGTCTCATCTCCTGCTAACCTTGACTTGTCCTCTTTGTAGCAAAAAAACACCGCATCTTTCACCAGCAGGACATACCTGAATCAACCCCTCAGGTCTTTTGTTGGTCTTGTTATGTATGCTGACAGATTGCCGTCAGTTTACCTTCCTCCCCGATTTAATCTGCCTCCTAACAATATGATTTAATCCAAATTCAATGAAGCTATTATACTTCTGGCTCTGTCATTATAGTTTGCCTCAGTTAAGTTCATTACTTGTCAAATCCCTGAGGAATGACACTCTGCAGCAGTTGATTAGACTGTATTATAATACCAATGAAACCACACTACCAAAAAGGGGGAGATTTACTGAAAGCCGTACTATTGTTTAGCTTAATTTCTTTGTGTAATAAAGAACATTTGGAATTAAAGTTCTACTCAACCGATCAATGAACAGAAGGGTCTTAGATTTTGAAATTTTGAACAATAACAGCTGAAAAGCAAAAGGAACCACAGAATACATTCCTAAATTGTGCCTCTGCAAACGTGTTTGATAAATGAAATAAAGATTTTCAATTTGATAAAAGTGAACATACAATTATGCAAATGTCATACCTCAATATCAGCATTACCACAAATGAAAATGTGTTCTTCATGCAGTTCAACTGGATGTCAGGACTAAAGCGAGACGGAATCCCTCCATTTTTTTCCAGATTCCCCTGACAATGATTATGTTTATGCCACAGTTTACTTCTAAGTTTGTGGATTTTCATCTCAAGCCGCCGCCGCAGTGCTTTCCAAAGTTGTGTTTTAAACTGTGAGCCCTCCATTATCTGCCTGTTTTTTAGAAGGTTGTTTTCACTGAGAGATTTCTTTTGTTTCTGTACTCGCTCTTCTTGCGTGTTTTGATCCACAGTCATCCAATGACATCACCTCTTTCCTACAGCCGCACCCACAGTTTAACAACAGATACTAAAAGGGCTATCAGGAGTGTGTGTGTGTGTGTGTGTGTGTGTGTGTGTGTGTGTGTGTGTGCATGCGGTTTAATCAATTCTGATTTGCCGTTGCGTCAATCATAATTGTTCAAAGAAAACACACTTCTTTCCGCCTTCACTTCGCTTCCTGGTCATTAAGTCTTGAGTATTGAACGTCTCCACTGCTCCTTTCAGTGAAGTGAAGTGACACTTTTTTTCTTCTTTGTTTTACAGTTGCTAGGAGCCGCATTCTTGGCCGTAGGTCTGTGGGCATGGGCGGAGAAGGTAAGTTAACACGTCACACAAACACACACTGTTCAAATGCAACACAATATCCTCATCAGCAGAGGTCAAATTCTTCTCCACTCCGGCGGAGATGAGTGCGATGAAAACTTGGCTTTTAAGAAAAGTGGCGTGAAAAAGGAAGGCAATGTTCCTGTAACTCTTTGTGGCACTGAAAGACACATTAGCATATAATCGGTCGTCGAAATTAATTATATTGCTGCAGCCAAAGTGTGATTTGAGACCGTTTCTCCTGTAGTTGGAGAATCTATAGTTGGAGAATAGTCACTAATAAGGGGTCAAAAGGCCAACATTACAAACTCATTTAACCCTGACCTACCTGGAATTTGGTTTTACCCATCACACGATGATTTGCACAAAGTCTGGGAATCAGTTGCTGCCACAAATCTCTGGTGTGCAGTAGATCGGGGCCACATTTTAAACTCCTTCCTATCGAGTTAACGGCCAATTTGCTCATTAATTAGCCAGAAATGGTTCCGGTCTGTTAAGTAAACGCTGCGCCAGCGTGGAAGCATGTACTGATTAGTAACGCCTGATGGTGGAACTGCGTTGAATATGTGAAGACTGATTCAAGACCGAATGATGAATGACGCGTCCTGGTGAGTTCGGGTCTCGGTGACTAGGATCAGATTCCAGCCCGCAGCGTTCGGCCGACTCTATTGTCTTCCTGCTCCGTGCTTCAATTCAAATGAAGGCACTTTACTCTGCAGGAACGCCCTGGAAACATGAATGCCTCTTATGCCTGCGTCCCGTAGTTGCCCCTGAATGCAGAATGTGATTTTTTAAAAAAAATTTATGCTTTGGCTGCAATTTTTTTGACGTGTGCACTGTATTTGACAAGCAAACAGCATGCCATAACCTGGAGCAGGTACACAATCTCCCGCAGGGCATCTCTTTAAAGACGGGTGAGAAATATAGAAAGAGTTGGTGAGAGATCATGCACGTAGAACAACACGCTTTCACTCCCAACCTGCACCTGCCTCTCTCGTCTGATCCCACGCGACACCGCGTCCAGTGAGCATGCAGTCATTTCTGTCGGAGCACTGTGTCGTTGCGAGGCACGATGGCGACCAGAGGCCGACAGGAAAGCAGGGTCGGGCCCTGTGGCCCCGGGGCTGCGAGGGCAGGAAACGCGGAGAGGAAGGACAGATGTCTGGTAGTAATTGTTCGCCGAAGGCTCGGAACTAACTGCCTCTTCTGATAAAAAGCCACTTGGACGGAGATCTTCCAAAGAACATTTCTTTCGTTAAGTAATTACTAAATACAATTATATAAAATCCTCTGGGGTTTAGGCGGGAGGGAGTAAATGTATTTTAGATAGCAAAAAACTTTGATACATTGTAATAAAATAATATTATTAATAGATAGTTTCTAGTTAACTGTGCTTTATTGTTGGATGTTTATTATTGGATTGTCCTTTTGTTTGCTGGGACCTTTTAGAGAAATAGAGATGGAAAGTTATTATAGTCAGAATTTTCACCACTCTTGTGCCCCCTTTTGTCCCCCCCCTCACTCTCTACAGGGCGTTCTCTCCAATCTGTCAACCATCACAGACATGGGAGGCCTTGACCCCGTGTGGCTCTTCATCGTCGTAGGAGGGGTCATGTTCATCCTGGGCTTTGCCGGCTGTATCGGAGCTCTCCGAGAGAACACCGTACTGCTTAAATTTGTAAGTCAGACACCATTTTCAACATTTCACGCCCCCTTAATTCTGCAGTTCACACCAGAGCTGAGGCTGGCACTGCAGCAGGTGACTCACCCGAGCCAAATGCTCTGGCTGGTGGCGCGGCAATAAATATGTGTTTTCTTATCACTAAACCAAGTTCGGTTTCACCAGAGATTAATGATCAGAAACGGGCATCTGAACTGTGTCAGCAACCCAAAACACTTTGTGTGTGTCCAGTCTTTCCGATCTGTGAGAACGATTGGGATTATTTTCGCCGCCAAAGCCACGGCAGCCCCGGCATTGGGAGGTTTGTTTGCGTTTGATAACCACATGTGAGTGACGGAGACAAACATGCCTTGTTGTTGGCTGCGATTCCGAGTGCCTATTAACTCCAGCCAATGTCCATTAGTAGCAGTAAGTCAGGCGTCAGAGCGAGGAGCTAATGTGGCTTCTGAGCATTTATCATTAGCCCCGTCTCCTCCTGCATTTACTGTAAAGGGGTATGATATAACGCCGCCGCTGGGACATCGTTGTTTGTTGCAGCACTCTTGCTTAGCAAATAAGTAGCAGCTCGACAACCAGACCTACACATCAGAGCTATTTATCCTCCTTTCCCAAGAAACGCCAGAAATAATGTTATTTGTGCTCTGATCCCTTTTAGAAAGCAGGACCCTCTTTGATGTACGCACATCCCTGATTGAAGGGACTGATTTGTGTGTGTGTGTGTGTGTGTGTGTGTGTGTGTGTGTGTGTGCGCGCTTTCCAGTTTTCTGTGTTCCTGGGTTTGATCTTCTTCTTGGAGCTGACAGCGGGGGTCCTTGCCTTTGTCTTTAAAGACTGGCTCAAAGATCAGCTCAACTTTTTCATCAACAACAATGTCAAGGCATACCGTGATGACATCGACTTGCAGAATCTCATTGACTTCGCCCAGGAATATGTGAGTCAACAACCAGTGACTGAAACGTGGGTTTTTACTAATGGTAGAAAATTCGACTTCCTCAAGTCATGTTCCCTTTCCGGAAGGACTCCATCCCATCTACTAGAATGTATTTTTATTTTTCATGTGTGAGTCTCAAAGCTGCTCTCCAATCAGGTCAGTCCTGGGCAGAGAGGAGACCCAGTGAGCCAATGCGATTGTAGAGTAAATCTCATGATTAATGTGTTTCCCTCAAATGATTATTCAATTATATGAATGAGACGGTAAGACGGTAGGTAATTGGCTGCCGAGTGTAAATGCTGGCCTCTGTCACATCGTACTGTAAAGGCGAGGAGATCGCCCGTATCCTCCGCCATCTGCGTCTCACTGTCTGTAGTCGGTGCCCGCCGCGCTGCGCTGGCTTCCCACCCAGGCTAACCTGAGCCCGGCTCCACAGAGCAGTTTATAGAGCAGATCAGAGCCAATTATCTGTCAACCTGGAACCAGCTGCCTAATCTGTGGCTGTTGTTGTTGTTGCTGCTGCCGTTCCAGTGGTCATGCTGTGGAGCCCACGGGCCCGACGACTGGGACCTGAACATCTACTTCAACTGCACCGAGCCAAACCCCAGCAGAGAGCGCTGCGGAGTGCCCTTCTCCTGCTGTGTCAAAGACCCCGCAGTGAGTCATCCGACCAGATTAATGCATAATAAATGGTGCAGAATTATGCATCCTGATTGGAATTCACGATCTGGTCTAGAGTTGTGACGATTAGTCGATCACAGGAGATTCACAGGCAGCTAATTGCACGTAAAAATGCCACTTGCTGGTTTCGGCGACTAAAATGCTTTCTTTGTGACGCATAATGATTTGCACCTTTTCAGTTTTGGACTTGTTGGTCCGACCAAACGAGGCATATTAAAGAAAAATTAATTGATTTAAAAAAAGAAAGTCAGAGCTAAAATGTGTGTTAATGTCGACCCTAAAGTCGTTTTGCTTTGCTATAGTTTACAAAGTAGTAGATTGACAAAAAATGATTTTTCTGGCTCCCTCAGACAATTAACGACTCCAATATTTTTGGAGACCTACATAGAATCCATCAACAGCGGTACTGTTGACGGATTGCTTATCAATATCTAGTTACTTTAAAGCAGTCAATTAACCTAATGTATTTGTGCTCAGACTTTAAAAGAAACATTCATCATCACAAACATTGTAACCAGTGGCTGAGGTGGAGAGGGTTTTCATATTTTTGTGTGGTTCTTGCAGGAGGATGTCATCAACACGCAGTGTGGTTATGACGTCCGGCTTCAAAAGGTTAGTATCTCTATACATGTCTCCACCACGCTCTATATAACCCTATATTGGTTCTCTATATAACCCTATATTGGTTCTCTATATAACCCTATATTGGTTTTACTTCACTCCACAGTTCATCTTGGCAAATGTTTCTTTGGATTTGTTGTTTTGTTTTTTTTCAAATAAAGCTTGATGATTTCATGTCTTATCAAATTCCAGCAGATAAACAGTATTTTGTTCTCATTCACTGTACAGTCGGTGTCACTATTGAAGCGTTATTGGCAGGCAGCGCCAGCCTTCCTACTGATTGCCATAACGCCTGAGGGCGAGTTGATTGACACCTGTTTGATTGAAGCTGGTTAGAGTGGCAATCAGGTTTATAGCTATTGAGGTTGATTGCGTGTCTCTAGCCCCCAGTATAAATTGACCTAAATAAAATGAAGCAATCAAATTTAGATTTGTGGGTTTCCTTCTACATGCCATTAAATGTAGAAGGAAACCCACAAATCTACATGCCATTAAATGTAGAAGGAAACCCACAAAACGTGTTCCTAGCAACAGTTGGCCGGCACAGAGAATGTGGAGGGTTAAGTCGCACTCGGGCGTCTTGCCTTAATAACAGATTGCTCTTCTGACCGGGATAATTAGGCTCCAGTTATAGCCTAGAAAGCAGCCTTACTACACTCTGTAATTGCCAACTGGGTTGAGCCGGTCCGTTCCCGTGCGTGTGGGTGTGGTGGTTACGACTGACTGCACTGCAGTCGGAGAGATTGCTGTTGCTAGGCACACAGCAAAACTGTTTTAGTAATTTTTTTAAATTTAGTTTTCCCCCCCGTGCGCTCCTCTGCCAATGCCCCGGCCGTTGACATTTTGCTTGAACTATCAGGGATGTGCCATAAGTTCCTGTTCTGCTTGTTTATGCTGCCCGGAGAAGAGGAAGCGCGGGAGACGTGGGGAGGACAGCGGCAGAGAACGAGCGGCGGGCTGAAATAGCTTTTAGAGGAAGTCCGCAGCCAGAAAAACACAGTGCTTCCTGCGTTTTCGTTGGCTGCCAAGGTGCTCCTTTAGCTCCCATCGGTTGGAAGCCAGCTTTCAGGTTTTTGCAGGAGAACAAAGGGTTTTGCCTGGTTGAACTGTCTTGAAGGGTAACAAAGAGATCATTGCATCGGGTCCTGTTCACGCCCATTCTCACTCCCCAGTTTTAGTGTCTTCGCAGCTCTAAATTACACTGTTTTTATGCCCGTCCTTCAATAGGCTGTGTATATCATGTTGCGAATGTGACAATGCAAACAGACATCTGGAAACCGCCTCTGCCTGTTAGCTCGGCCCAGACAGAGTCCTGAGAAATGACTCAGTGCCTTGATATCCTCCGTGATGTCCGGACGCTGACCCGTTCTAATCTAAGAGTGACTCAGCTATCATGCCCTCCTCAGCGATGGAGGAGTAGCTGCTCAAAATGCTCTTTGTGCTGTTAGTTTTGTTAGTCATATGCCAGAGTGCAGATGTATGTTTAAATCATGCAGTAGGCCAACGTGCCCCTCTGGGTGCTGAGAATTATATTGTATTATTATGTTGTGTTGTTTATCAAACCGTGTATTGATTTTTGTTTGAAATGAACTTCTCATCTGTTCTTTTAACGAAGGAGCTGGACTGGCAGAAATATATCCACACCAAGGGCTGTGTGGGACAGTTTGAGAAGTGGCTTCAGGACAACCTCATTATTGTAGCTGGAATCTTTGTTGGTGTTGCACTATTACAGGTAAGAGGTAGCCGTTTGTGGATGCTTTTCTTTAAAAATATTTGCATTAAACAAATTAACACTATCAATCCGGTGCTTTAGAAATAAGGCGTTCACGTAACGCTAAGAATATGCCATGGGGCTGATTTTGTATCGTCATTGCCACCTAGTGGTGACTACCTGTCACATCAAGCAAACCCCCGTTAACTTTAACATGCTACTTTTCTGTACACGTAGCCTTACTTGTTGCCCTGTGTGCCTTCCTCCACAGATTTTCGGCATCTGCCTCGCTCAAAACCTGGTAAGTGACGTCAAAGCTGTCAAAGCCAACTGGTGACCGCAGGGCGGGGACGTTGGGGAAGCCGCGCCCCAGCAAGGTCAACACGGCACTCAAGTCGTCCGTCCGGCTTAGGAGAACAGAGATCCGTCAACACTGCATTGCCGCTGAGCTAAGCAGCACTTGCACACTCTCACACTTTTATACGTGCATATGCAAAGAGCTTACATCCCTGTTTATCGGGGACGCTTGAATCGTTTACCACCCAGCTGGATCTTAACTCTACGGCCCTGCCGACTTCAGATGCTTTTTTTTTTTTTTTTCCCTTTGTGCTTCCTATGATTTATTTCTTTGGACAATTGTATTTATGGGACGCAGTTGCACAAGGACTAATGTTTACTGGGAGATTTAAAGCCGTGGCCGAAAACAAACAAACAAACAAAGGAAAAAGCAAACAGTCTCAGTTAGTCTCCTTTTATTTGAGGTCAGGCGTGGGATTGCCCCCTTCCACTCAGTGAGTGGTTGAACAAAGCTCCCTACAAACGGCCTGTTTTTAACCTGTCCCCACATCCTGCTGTAGGGAGCCGTGGGGGATTGGACGGGCCAAAAAAGACATGGATTCCACCGTTCTGACTTTTTATGACCACTGAAAAGACTCTGAACACTGGCAGGTCAAGTCTGCAACTTTGAATTGTTTCACAGGACTTCAACTCGAAGTGTAAAAAAAGTGCCATTAATTCCCTGTTTTACTTTACTTCATACCTCAAGGCCTGGCTGGAAACCGAATGCTTTCTGCAATAAGTTCAATGCAAACCTTTTATTTTCCATCCATGTCTACGTAATTGAGATTTACCAACTCGTTGCAGAACAGTTTATCCAAAGTTACCCTGTTTGCCCTGCAGTGATTATCCGTTGATTTACTGAAGGATGTGGTTTTGTGCGATACGGGGAGGTCCGGATCATAGGACTATGCTATACATTGAAAGGAGTTTATTAATAGTTGAGATTGTTGTTCATCTCTAAGCATCCCTCAGGCACATGGGATTGGTGATTTGGGGCCTTATTTACTTGACTTATGTTACCACGCTTGTCTTATTTTCTTATCTTCACAACGTGTATTAAGAATATTTGTCTTTTTTTAAAGATGTCCTTTTAATTACCTTGTATTCTACCATTTTATTGAGGCAGATCCTGGGTTCATTGTTTGGCTTTACCAGCCACTTGTTTTACTTTTGACCCAGCAGTCAACTACTAAATAGCTTCTTATTGTGGATGTTTTTAGCAGTCCTAATGGAGACCAAATAATATATCAGCCGTGAGCTAATTGCCATGGTTTCTTTTCAACCCACAATTGTGATTTTTATAAGGAATTCCAAGCAAAAAACAAAAAGGATTTCTGGACAGCCAAAATGTGAATATATTCTTTCTTTTACACAGAAAGTGCCTGTTGAAAATAAAAAAATAAAAATGTTAAATGTTAGGTTTTATCTTTAGGTCAATATTGTGTCTTCAGTTTGGATTGTTGTTGTTTTTTAATCGAATTGTAAAAACAAGCAGTTACCTTTCCATTTTAACACCCTCAATATAACACGACTGCTGCTTAAACGTTAACTAGAGTATTGATATGTAGTACAATAACCAAGTTAACAAGTCTCCTAATTGGCCATGATGTCATTGGACATATTTTGATTGATTTGTTGTCGTTCACGTTGCTATCACATTTTTTACGTCACCGTCGTAGATTCTCATCCTCAGCCGTGATCCTCACGGTCCGATATACCAGGTTCACTTGATACTTTTGTCCATTATTTTTCCTGCATTTAACCACCGCAGTTGTTTCCAGTTGTAGCTTTGTGAGTCGGCTACGCAGCACAGGCATGTATGGGAGACTCACACACCCAAAAAGAAAACATGTTTTGAATAGTAACAGCCAAAACTTGAAAGTTGAGTAGCAACAGAACAACAAACCCTGCTTCACTGCGTCTGTGTGTGTGTGTGTGTGTGTGTGTTTGTATATATATATTTCTACACACACACACAGGAGCTCGTTCAGTCACAGCACCTTCCGATCGCCTGCGATACTCGCACGTCGCATATCCCTTTCACCCACTCGCTCCCCCTTCAAAGCTCGCCCTGATCTGACTGCACCGGTTTCAGTGCCTGTCGTTTTGATGTATTTTTAAACGTAGCGCTCGCTTGAAGAAAAATAAAAGAAGAGAAACACAAGACAAAACAACAGTCTCTTTGAATGTAGGTGTCACGACTGAGCGAGCGGAATGGATCCGGGGCAGCGCGGAGCATCTGTACTGCAGTGACTGCAGGTGGTCTTTAATGACTCTGTAGAAAGTTTCCACGGGAGAAGCTCATTCATTTCAGCTCTTTAGTTGTAATCAATGAGTAAGAGCCTCGAGCAGTCCTAAGAAAAATGACCCCCCCCTTCAGATGAAATATAGAAACATGTACAGCCTTATGTGATACCATATTTTTCTATTCCAAGGATGTGTGTGTGGCCCTCTTTGATTTCACCAACTGTTGTAAATCAATCCTTCCCACTGAAGTGTAGAGGATCAGGAATAAATACACCACTGTTTATTTTCCCTCCACACCTTTCTCATTTAATCTTTTGAGCAGTAGCTTGAATCGGATAATGGGGTGATTTATTAGTTGAAGGTTTTTCCCTTTTTTTTCCCCCTAACATCATAATCTGGAACTTTTTGCTCAGGGTTTTTGGGACAACTCCCATCCATGACACTACAAATGAATGAAACCAACTCTCTGCTTATGCATGGGAGAACATTCTGAGTTGTATTTGTTTAAGTGATGGGGTGCTGCCTTCTGCGTGAAGGGTCTGCCTCTGTGTGTGTGTGTGTGTGTGTGTGTGTGTGTGTGTGTGTGTGTGTGTGTGTGTGTGTGTGTGTGTGTGTGTGTGTCATATGTATGGAAATGCCAATAATCAGACAGTCACCATGTAACGAGGACCATAAAGCCATAATAAACAAACAGTCGTAGCCGCGTGGCTTTAATATGCAGACAGTACAAAGAAGACTCTATGGATCTTGTGTGTTTTAGCAGCTTTGGATCCTTTTTGGTTTTGTATTGCTCTGATTTAGGGAAAGAAAACAATACTAAATAGGCCTTGTCCGTTATAATGTTCTTGCGTTCCGAAACGCCCTGTTAACTGCCCAAAGCGAAAGCAGAGAAATTAAGTCATTCCCCGAGGAGGAGCCTTATGCATACCATGAATGTTTAAGCTTAACGCTGTGCACCCGCTGCTCCGTGCTCAGTTAGCATTTCTTCTTAGACTCATACAGTTTGATGCACAAGACAAGTGAAACATAGGAATGGGAGATAAAGGGTCGGCAATGTTACAGATGTTATTCTGGTTTGTACATATTTATTGCATAAAAGCCTATGAACATTTATTGCTTCTATTGTGTGTGTGTGTGTGCACCTTGTATGCCACGCTAAGACTTTAAACCGCCATCTCTATGCTCTATGTCCAGGATTTCACAATACTTATTTGATCTGCACAGATCATCAGCTGCATCTGCACAAACAATGTGACTGAACTTTTTACAATGTACTTTTTGCATACAAACACAAAGTGACACATATTTCCCTTTTGATATTCCTGCCTGCTGACTTTGGCCAAAGAAGCAGCATAATTGACTGGATTGTGAGCACGGCTACATCACGGATGTCAGTGTTGACATTTCTATACCAGATCAGGACACGAGCATCACAAAAGTGTTTCAACTTTCTGGGACTTTACAGTTGAAGAATATGGATTTCAGTCACACAAAAACCACTATAAATATTTCATTTGTTCTGCTGAGAAACCAGAACCGCTTTCTCAGTATGACGGTTTGTGTCCCCATCGCAGCAGAACTGAAGACACAAAACCATGCGATGCATCCGCTCGCTGGTCAGACCCATCTACTCGTCTTGTAAAGAAATATTGCATATGAAAACTGTGGGACATGGTCTGTTACACTGTATATTCTGTTTAAAATATGCCCCTTTCATATATTAAAGGATTTATGATAACATGGTCGTGTTTGTTTTTTCACATCAAGTGAATTCAAGACGTTTGTATGACACACCGCTTTTCTGACTTTCCCAAACTGTCTGACTTTATAAAGACGAGGGGTCCCGCAGGTCTGTGCTGTGAGACACTGTTACTACACTACTTGTTCCACTTTCCCTCGAATGTTGTTTTTCAGATTTACTTTGATTAGAAAATGTTATATTTTATCCTAATGAGGGATGAGTCAGCCAATAGAGGGAGACAAATAGTGACCGTGAGTGCCGACGCTGAAACACCCACTGTGGCTGCATCTCTTGATTTCCTTTAAAGCAGCACAATTTGCTAAAAGAAAGAAGGAAATGATTGTATTTATTATATTGTTGCCATAAGAGAGCAGCTAGCGGCCATTATGACATCCATTCAGTTACTTGCTGTTGCCGTTGTGCTTGATGTTGGGATCAAAAACCGTAACTCTGGACCAAAAAAAGAAACCATAAACTTAGAATATTGCCATCACCTCTTCCCATGCATCTCAAAGACGGACCACGCCAGCAGGATGCAGAAAGTGGAGCTGTTTCCTTGAACACATTTACTGCCGTACTGGTTTACATAAAGCATGAGGCTTCATGGCTGCAAGGACGGCTACTCTAGCGAAGAGTCCTCTCTGATTTGATTTAATAGCAACTGCTACAAAGAGCGTTATTGTTCCAATAAATATGACCGGCCTTGTGTTTTTATCCATGCAGGATACCTCATGCATGGTAGGCAGCCACAATCTGCTCCCGTGCATCTTCACTGTAGTTCATTGCTCAAAGAACAGAGGTATATTATTTAAAGGACAACGTGAGGTGACGCCCCTGCTGGATAGTTCATTTCTAAACAAAAAATTCTAAAAGTTTTAAAATGCATTCACCAGATTCTCTGCCCGATGAGCAAGATCACGTGCTGCTGCAGCTTTTGCCTTGTGGTCTTGTAGAGCGAGCTCACAGCGTTCTAACGCATCCGACATCCCGGATGCTCTCCCACGGTCCTACGGGACCTTCACTTTAAACATATTTGGACTGCGCTGGCAGTTTGTTGGTTCATCTTCAGCCTGCTGAATATGAATATCCAGATCAATCTGTTCTCATACACCAACAGAGAAGTAATGCAGTATAATTTGTATAATAACCCACGAAAATCAACTGAATCGAAACAAGAAAGCGGGAGCCGACAATGAATATGAAACAAAGACCAAACACATTGGACTTCCTGTTTGTCACGAAACATCCGTACTTCTTATTATACAAACCACAATCTTTTCCTAACCAAGCAGTTTTGGGGCCTAAAGAATATACACAAAAAAAATATGCCGTAGGAAACGTTTCATGTGGCTATGTTGCCACCCGTAAATGTCAATCTCTTAAAATAATGACGTTTCCATATTAATATCACGTGTTTGTAATGGTACTAATGAGTGTGATGTCCTGCGCTTTTGTCTGAGCTTTTACTAACATGCATTCTTTATCTTACTCTTCCGAGGGGGCCTTAAGTCTGGCTCCCTTTCGACACGAATCAATGCGGTTGAGTTTGTTGCTCCGCAGAACTATTAGTGAGATCTTCCACACTTCATTGCGCGGTAGATATGATCATGCAACTGACAGCAGGGGCCCAGTTACCATTGCTTGCACCCCTGCTGTGTCTGACTGAGTTCATTGCACAAGAGCCTTTGTTTTTCAGGATTTCACAGAGTTTAGTCACAGTTAGATCCACACTGTTTGTAATTAGTCAATTAAAGAGCCAGAGCTTGCGATCGCAAAGGAGCCTGAGAGGCAACCTGAAGGTGTGTCCGTCTGAGCTCAACCTGGGTTCAAAGTCCCAGCGCTGCATTTGATTTCAAATTCTGCGGTACGTTTATAACAAAAGAAGGCTTAATGCAATATAGAAACAATGCATGCTTGATCATTTCTAGTGTGCAGCAGCTACACCCCTAAACACGTCTTCGTTTATGATATCACAACTCGAGCACACCGATCGTGACCCAAACAGGCCGCGGTCACATCATGTCGGTAACGGGAATAAGACCTGCGACCAAACGGGCAAAGGGAACCAGATCCACCCATTAAACTGAACAGTCGCCAAGAAATGCCGTGACATTACGAGGCAAGAGAAAAGACTCCCTGTGGTTCCCCACGAGGGAAGAACCATGTCCGCCTCCAGATAGGGCTTTTAGCCCCGCCGCCGTGGGCAGCAATTGATTTCATTGATGTGCCTTGTGCAGCGGACTATCCCTGATAAAGACGGCCATTCAGTGCGCGAGTGACGTCACATCTGCGTCAGCTAACTTGGAGGAATAGACATCACATGCCGGCACTCAGCTCCTCGCCTTTTGATGCTGGTGTGTTAAAGGCTTTCTTTGAGGGCGCAGTGGGGCAGCGGCGGAGCAGTACGAGCCAGTCATTGCACACAGCAGCTGGCAGAAATATAGATCTCTGCAGAATAAGGGGGAAAAAAACCCAACCTGGTACCATTTTCAAATGGAAAGTCTGGTGACCCACCCCCCAGTCCCCGGGCACCAGGCTTTTAACTTCTGCCAATGTCATCCCACCCACGTCATTATTCTAACAACTGATCTAGTGTAAAAGGCTCCAACCACACCAGAGGCAAAACGAAGAGGCCTGCGCCTAGAAGTTAACTTAACATCGTGTCCACGACCGAATTACAGTTTTCTGGTCCGTCAAGTGATTCCATTTGGCCCAAAAATATCTTTTCCCAAAGACTTTTGTACTTTCATCGAGAAACGGTAGTGTTTCTCCGTTACCAGTACGGACACTTATTTAAATCACTGGGTTTTAAAAGTTTATAAGTGCGGCAATAGCCAATCTTGTCTAGCAATCTTCCAGATGTGGAAGATTGCTAGACAGGTATTTCCATCTGAATTGTATATTATTTTGGCTTCAAGCACCACTGTGCAACTTCCACAGAATGCTGTATCCAGTTATCTTTATACAAGCCGACAGTTGACTGAGTGGCGTAGATACCTGGACTTTCTATGGAGATGAATGTGAAATTGAAAAGAAGTTATGCATGAAGTGAGGGAGAACTGACACTTCATCCTGGCTTACAAAACTGTAGCTAAAGAGGTTGTTGAGGGGGAGAAGGTGTTGGAAAAACATGGAAACGCTTCATCTTTAAAGCGCTGTACTCCGATACTTATTTGGTTTAAAACATTGTGACTTTTCAATCTCTTATCCTTTGTTAGTTTTGATACCAGGTGGTCCACAACTGGTGATGACCTCTTAAACAAGTCGGATAGGCCGCGATGTCATAATGTCATAATGTCTGTCTAAGCTTTGCGTCGAGTGTTGTGGTCTGATTGGTTGATGGTGTAATTGAATGAGTTTCTGTAATTTCCTGGACAACAGTGATTGAATTAGAGCTTAATTTAATTAATGGCAAAAAGGATTATGGCTGAAGCACAAAAATCACAGCACTGCTCTAAATCTGCTGGCAACTCAGTCACAGGAGTGCGCCTCAGGGTTAGGTTGAAGGATATAGCTGCTCTGGCCAACCATAATTCACCCAAGTGGCTCTGCTTTAAAGACAGAATCACACAAGAGCTAATTGCATGTCAGCCATTTTTAGATGCAATATTTATCTGCGCCATACAGTATATATTTATAGTGCTTTCAAGGTGTTCCACCAGAAGGCCATAATGGATGTGTGAGTGTGCTTCTCAACCAGGGGGGGCAACAGAAGTACATTCAAACAAGTAAAGGGAGGTGTCTGTTTTCTATCAGAGCTCAAGTAAAGGCTCTGGGTGGTCCGGGGATGGTCGAAGTTAGACATGTATTTGTTATAGCTAAGGGAAAGCGTGCGGAGATTGATTGATTGTAATTTAAGTGAATTTAGTCCAGTATGCTCTCTGCTCTCTTATTGACTGCTGGTTGCCTGGCAACTTCTTGAGGAAAACCAGAGCCCAGGAAGTTATTGCGTCATATATTTCCAAGTTTATGGCAAGTGTCTGCTCACAAGAACAAAAAACTAAGATGGAGAACGTAGTAAACATTTCTGTTAGTAACAAAGCATCTTTCCCAAAATGAGGATTTGCAAAGGCCTTGAATGGTGTATATCGAGCCTCTCCAGCATATTAATCATTTCCAACACCATAATTTCTAACTCCACCATACAAGTGATGAGGCTAATGGCATCTGAAGGCATCCTGAAAACAGCAGTACAAATGCCATGCATAGTTCAGGTACCAATGAGTTTAAGCTTTATTTAGCGTGAAATGTGGAATTCTGTCCACACAGCCGTTATAATCCCATCATTCCTCTATATATCATCAAGGCAAGGTTACATAAAATTTGCAGCTGCCAACAAGTCCTACTTAATCATATTAGCAAAAAATATGGTTCCTAAACATCGCTCTTCTTCCTCAGCCTATCTTGTGCAGATTTGTTTCTCTCACCTTAAAATATGCTACTGCGAGGCAATTTAAAGCTGGGGTGTGCAGTTTATTTTTGGCTTCATTGGGAAAACATTTTATAGTAGCCTTTCAGCATGTTGTAATTCAAGTGTCGTTAGCTCAAATTAAACTTCCGCCCCTCCTCTCGGCTCTGTTTTGAAGCTTTAGCAAATCCCATCTGTGACGAGATGCATCGGCCAATCACGGGTCATTACAGAGACAGAGCGTCCCCATGGCTCCGCCGGGACGAAAGCCTGATTCAACTTCCAGCATTGATACCACTGTCCCCTCTGCAAAGCAGCCTCAGGACCGAAGATGGTCTCATCAAAAGGGGGAGTCTGACAACACCGGTGCGGCTCAAATCCCACTGTGGCACATGAGGGGGTTTACAGGCCCACAGGTTGGCAAAGAAAACAGGTTTGTAATAGTAGTAGAATCAGGATCCGGAGATAATTTGTTTGAAATGGATGAGCACCCCTCTTGCAGGTTATTATGTGAAGCGCGTGAGAGAGGAGAGCAGCAGGATGAAGGTCTTATTTCCAAAGGTTGACACGCTTTGTTTTTGGCCTTCCGCT